GTGTGTGGTCGGGCGATGTCATGATGGAAGACAATACCTTTCCTATTATTCAATTCGGGCCGTTTTCTTTCAATTGCCTGGCGTAATATCTCTAGTTGTCCACAGTAGAGTTGAGAATCAATCGTCTGACCAACTGGAAGTAGCTCATGGTGGACGAATACCTTCCAGGCCTACCACATACACAGCATCACCTTTTTCGGCGTCAATTCTGGCTTCGTGAACGCTTGTGACGGCTCACCATCCCTTATCCACGATCTTTGACGCTTCCGATTCGTACGTGATCCATTTTTCATCACCGGTTATGACACGTTTCAGAAATGGCTCGATTTCATTGCGTTTCAGCAGCGCATCGCAGATGTTAATTCGGTCTATCACGTTTTTCACGTTCAACTCATGAGGAACCCATATATCGAGCTTTTTTTTGTACCCAGCTTTGTGTAAATGGTTCAAAACAGTTTTGTGATCAATGCCTAGCTCCATACCAATATCGACACTGCTGATATGCTTATCTTGCTGGACTTTTTCAAGAATTTCATCAGTTTTTTCAGTGATTGGACGACCAGAGCGTAACTCATCTTTCACATCAAAATTACCAGAACGAAAGCGGGCGAATCATTTCCGCGCAGCAGATTTTGATAAAGTATCTTTACCATACACAGCACAAATTTTTTTCACAAGCCTGCGCAGCGTTCTTCCCTTTGTCGTAATAATATTGCAAAATATAGCGCAATTTTTCATTACTTTTCTCCATTTTCAAACGCAAACAACTTTCCAACCACTGCACCAATTTCGATGTTTATACATTCAAAGTAACGCTCGAAGTGTCACCTTTCTAACGAGCGTTTAGTGGTGTCGCTGCGATCTGTGTTTCCTGAATTATTTGCAATTGACGCCATCTATCGGGAAAAACGCCACGAACTTTTTCCCAGACCCAATATATCGTCCACAAAACACAATATCTTTTGTAGTAAAATTGTATCGCGCGTGACTCTTTGCGACGCTTTATTTGTTAATGACAAATTATTGACTGCCTAATTTCAAAATCTGGCTCCGTAGGGACTTTGGAAATAGTTCAAATGATATTTTATAATAATTTGGCGGTTATGTATATCATCCACGACGCAGAATATCTTGTTTTAAAGTGGTGGCTGGAAGTATTCATATACATACACACGCCAATACTAATGCACTGCTCATATACAGGGTGCACGATTTATCTGAAGACATTAAAATATCTCGAGAACTATGCATTGGATAAAAAAAAGTGGTTAATGAAAGTTGTTAGTCTCGAAGGGAAACATCCAATGATACCAAACTCGACCTCCCACCCCATCCCCTGGGGGTGGGGGTTGGGGGTAACTTTGAAATCTTAAATGGAAACCCCCATTTTTTATTGCAGATACGGATTTTACGCCACAAAACATGTAAATTTTGTCCGAAACTTTTTTTTTGATTCGTGGTAGATGGCGCTGTAATCGCAAAAAATTATATTTTCCGCAATTCTCTAGAAATGATCATTGGATTGAGAAATAAAAAATACCTGTTCAATATTTTTAAAGAACATAATAAAAGTTATTCCCCCCCCCATCCTCTCGGGGTAGGGTAAGTGATAACGTTCAAATCTCAAATGGGGACCCACATTTTTCATTGCAGAATTAGATTGTACGTGAAAGTTTTATTGAAACAATTTTTTTCATTCGTGATAGATAGCGTTGAATTTTTCCGAGAAACTACTTTTAGCGTTACACAGGAACAACGACGAGGACGTAGTTTTATGTTCCCTTCGGGTGCTTTTTTAATGTGAGTCCCCTTGCCTCTCACAGATCGGGGTGCTTTTTTAATGTGAGTCCACTTGCCTCTCACTATTCAATTAATTAGAATAAGTGTTCGAAATTTTTATCTTCAACTTCAATACACTTATTAATCCTTTTTTCAAATGACTGTACACAGGATAGAAGCATATCTGCGGGAGTTTCAGCGCAAGCGTTTCTTATGCGTTCTACCATTGTTGCGGGTTGAATCTGAGAGTTAACCCGTTGAACGCCGGGATCGCCCAGATCTTGGGCGCTAGAGCGAGTACGACTGGAGCCGACGGAAATCAGCCAAAAGGAGAGGACCGGTCGGTTCTCTGGACAATAACGTGGTCGAGTCTCCGAGTGCGAAGCGTTTATTAGCGTGGACCCAATACAGCGGCTTGTAGATCGCGAACAATGAAGTTGTGTCTCAATAACGAGACGGAGAAAATAATCACGCGCCGGAGCGACGCGTAGTTGAGCTTTTTACGATAGCCGAGCGGAACTTGAGAAAATGAGTTCGATAGCCGGATTCTGCTGAAATCTATTGTCATGATATCGATCGTAATTTTATATCGCTGATGCGGCTCAAGCCGATTGGCAGATTTGTACACATCGTTGGTTGACTGACACAAAGATCTAGACGGTAAATACATTGTTTTGCCGTTAGTCACGAGACATTAGACTGCCGCACGTTTCTTCTGATGGAAAGAGTGTTATTGTCACCGACACAATGAGACAGTGTAACGCGCCGAGACAATACCAGGCGGCAAGACAAAGATCGAGCAAATAATTCGTTTGTAAACATGGGTGATTTGCCCGAGCGGTGACTCGCTGTTAGCGGTGTCCAGCACACGCTCCGCGAGAATCCGCTGGACGATTTTAATGAGCACGCAGAACCGCCGATATGATTTTCCAATTCGGAACATGCCGCCCGCCTTGAAACAGTAGTTTCAAAAGACTGCTTAGCTTGAGCCGAAAGAAAATGATAGAGCGCAAAGCAATAATAAATGTACTCACGGGTCAGCGCAACTCGCTCTGGCCTCCTTGAAACGAAGCAAAACAAAACAAAATAAACGAAAGCATCCTTTTAAGGTAACGCAGCTTAAAACTAACGCATATTACCACGAACGCAACTTATAATTAACGCATTTTACCACGAACGCAACTTATAATTAACGTATTTTGCATAGAACGATAACCGAATGCAATAACCAATTTAAGTTGATAAATCGAGACTAAACTTAAATATAACGAGACGACCTAAGCCTTCGCGTCGCAATCAACCGGCAGCACGCATAATTTTACTATCGGACGCTTATATTCCGAAACAGCGGTTCTAACGGTCAGAACACGGGTCAAACCATCGGGACCAGGATGACACGCTGTGACTCGTGCTAACTCCCATTTGCAGGGAGGAAGCGAAGGATTGCGAATGAGAACGAGTTGATTTAATTTTAGCGATGAAGTTGGGCGGCGCCATTTACTTCTTTGTTGCAACGTGTTGACGTAATCGTTGTACCACAACTTCCAGAAGCGTTCGGTTAACTGACGCACGAGTTGCCACCGGGTGAGGCGATTCTCGTTCACATCGAGAAGCGACGGCTCAGAATTGACAGTGATAGCTGATCCGATTAAAAAATGACCGGGAGTCAGCGGTTCATAATCGTCGAGTGAGTCGGTAAGAGGCGCTATCGGGCGCGAATTTAGGCAAGCCTCTACACGACAGAGAACTGTGGTGAACTCCTCGAACGTCAACGTGTGTGTTCCCAGGACGCGACGCAAATGGTGCTTGACGCGGACTCCTGCCTCCCACAGCCCGCCAAAATGCGGAGCTGACGGAGGGATAAAATGCCAGGAGATGTTATCAGTGGCTATTGCATTTTGGACGTTAGGATCGCGAATCGAGGCACGATAGGCGCTCGTTAATTCTCGATCCGCACCGACGAATGTTGTTCCGTTATCCGAATAAATAGATTGAGGTAGCCCACGGCGCGAACAAAATCGCGAGAAAGCGCCGAGAAACGCCGGAGTTGAGTAGTCCGCGACTAACTCAAGATGTATGGCACGAGTAGCCATACAAATAAACAGCGCGATGTAGGCTTTACGCGAAGCGATGCCGCGACCCGCAGAGGTCCGAAATGACACCTGCCCGGCGTAATCGAGACCGCAATGCTGGAATGCGCGTTTTGGAGCGACTACACGAACCGAGGGAAGCGCGCCCATCAATTGGGACGGCGTCTCGGCCCGTTCGCGAGCGCATGTTACACACCGATGAATGACTGCACGATACTGCGAGCGCGAATTATCCAGAAGTCTCGGCGCAAACCACTCAATGTAAGTTGTAACCTGCCATGCAACGATCGTTGATGAGCATTGTCTATTATAAGGATAACAAGAGGATGGGCCGCAAGGAGAAGAGGATGTCGAGTAGGAGACGAAAGAAGCGAATTTCGCAATCTTCCACCGACGCGAAGAAGTTGATCGGAATCAAGGAATGGGTACAAAGCAAGTATCGGACTCTTTGCAGGAAGACTCGTCCCGTCGCGCAGAGCACGTATTTCATCAAGAAAGAGTCGAAGCTGAAGTGCGCGGAGCCAAAACGTTCGGGCTTTCCAGCACTCGGCTGCCGTAAGGGCGAACCCATGAGGATCTTGAGCGGGCTCAACCCTACGTTGGCGGCAGCGAGTGACGAAGCGAAATAGATACGCTGTTACTCGGAGAAGCTTCGGCCAAGAAGAAAATCTGCAAGATATTTCGAAGGGATCCTGCTGCGCAACGAGGTGAACGTGAACTCTCTTAATTTCAAGGTCAAGATCCGCGGGAACTCCAGGGTTCCGCAATGGTCAGTCAGCCTCAGACGACTGCAGCCACGACGGACCTCGCCACCAGAGCTCATGAACTAACAGCTCGTCACCGAGGAGTCCGCGGGAAGCGCAATCGGCAGGATTTTCGCCTGTCGGTACATGACGCCACTCTGCATCAGGCAGGCGTGTCTGCACATCGGCAACCCGGTTGGCCACAAAAGTCTTCCATTTCGACGGCTGCTGCAGAAGCCAGGCGAGAACGATAGTAGAATCCGTCCAACAAAAACACGGGACAGTCTCGTAACCAAGTGATCGCCGAACGAACTCCATTAAGCGCGCGAGCAAGACCGCAGCCGAGAGTTCCAACCGAGGCACACTTATAGTATGAAGCGACTCTCGACTAGTATGGAACAACTCTCGACTTTCCCGTTAGCAATGAAATAATTATTTCTCCAGCATATGTTACGACCCTCGCATAAACGACTGCCGCGTAGGCCACGTTCGAGGCATCGGCGAAACCGTGAAGCTCGACTAGTTGGGAGTCCGTGCCGAGCCCAAGCCAACGCGGGATTTGAAAATCATTGAGACAGGAGAGGCGCGAAAAAATGAGGTGCCAGCGATGCTGTAATTTAACCGGGACAGCTTCATCCCATGCAAGACCTTCCCGCCAAAGTAGCTGCATAAATATTTTTGCGGTAATAGTGATCGGAGTGACCCAACCGAGCGGGTCATAGATTTTAGCAATCGCCGCCAGAATAGCCCGTTTGCTTTTCGGAACGCGTCCTTCAAGAGACACCGTCACCTTGAAGTTATCTCGTGTCGGATTCCATCCGATGCCCAAAATCTTCAATTTCTCGTCAACCTGCAAGGACTTAGTGCATGCCAAGCCATGCTCGTGAGCATCAATGTCAGCCAGAAGCTCCGATGAATTGCTTGCCCACTTCCTAAGTTGGAAACCCCCACACTGGAGCAACGCATCGAGCTGTCGACGTACCTGTAAGAGACGATCGCGGCTGCCGTCTCCGAATAATAGATCGTCGACGTAAATATTATTCCGCAGCAACGGAACAGCAAGAGGAAAGCGAGATCCCTCGTCCTCGACGAGTTAGCGAATTACGCGCAGCGCCAAAAAGGGAGCGCAAGCCATTCTGTAGGTAACCGTCAGCAATTGATAGTCAGTCCGGCGGTCAGTATTCCACAGAATGCGCTGATAATCAACATCTCGCTCGTCTACCCAAATTTGCCGATACATTTTAGCAATGTCAGCGCTGTACACGAATTTATGAATTCGCCACCGTAATATGACCGCGGGTAGATCTGTTTGCAGCTTTGGCCCGGAAAGCAGATTATCATTCAAACTGCGACCCGTCGCCGTGCGGCTTGAGGCGTTAAACACGACGCGTAAATGACTTGTTTTACTGTCTGAGCGGTAAACAGGATGATGCGGTATGTAAACAGCGCGTGAGATGCTCGCAGCAGTGACCGGCGCTCGGCGCATATGGCCAAGATGCTCGTATTCCGCTAAAAACGCAGAATATTCGGCAAATTGCGCGGGGTGAGCCTGCAAGCGACGCGTCAGCGAGTCCAGCTGGCGTGCCGCCCTGACTCTTGTATCTCCCATAATGAGCGGAGGGCTCGTTTTGAACGGGAGACGAACGACATATCGGCCCTCGATTGTGCGAGAGTGCGTGGATCGGAAATGATCTTCGCACTGAATGTCCTCGGTGCTAAGAACCGAGTGTTTGGGAAGTTCCTCAATTTCCCAAAATTGTTGAATTTCTTTAGCGAGAATGGACATGTCGCAACAGTGATGCACGAACACACTGAATGCATCTGTCGCCTCAACTGCATCGTCCGGCGACAAAACGTGCTGCGCCGGTGCAGCTATTGGACCCGACAGGAACCATCCGAAAATCGAATTCTGCGCGGTGGGTTCACCGAAACGGCCTTCACGACGTTCAGCGAGAGTAACGACGTTGTAAAGATCGCAGCCGATGATGAGGTTAATAGGATCGGAACTGGTGGGATTCGAATCTGCCCAAGGTAAATCAACCAGGTGTGGATAACCCGAAAGAGATTCAACGTATTTCGGCGCGTAATGCGTAAGCTTCTCTAATATAGCGGCGCTAGTGTTATACGAGGGAGACATCGAGTCACGCGGCGAAACAGAGATATCCGTGGCATAACGAACTGTGCCTGCATGAACTCCGCCGACGGCCGACACCTGTACGGAAATGCGCCGTCGTTTCGCATGCAATACTTGCGCCAAGTTCTCGGATACAAAGGTCATTTGTGAGCCCTGATCCAGGAGAGCTCGAACGACGACCGTTCGGCCGCTCGACCCGATGACCCTCACCCAGGCTGTCGCCAACAGTACTTGTTTAATAACTGAACAATAGAATAACTGAACAATAGAAGAAGCGTGCAAGGACTGCACCGCGCATGGCGCTTCGACCGCCTGAGATGACAGTCCCGGATTCGGCTCCACTACCAGTCGATCTCCACCCGAATCCGCACCAGCGTGAAGCAGGCTATGATGCCTTTGCAGACAAACCCGACAGGAATGCTTACTACTGCACTCATTTACCGCGTGATTCGGACTCAGACAGTTATAACATCGTTGATACCGCTTCACGAGGTCACGTCGCCGGAAAACATTCCCGCGAACAAATGTCGGGCAAGCACTGAAATAATGGCGCCCCTTACATATCGGGCATCCGCCGAGTGCATGCGTGGATGTAGCAGCAACGTGAACTCGCGACGCAGGAGAAGACTCCGCCGCCGCAACGCTCGACGAGTTGGCGGCGAAGTCCTCGAGAGCACGCGTGCGACTCGCAAGAAATAAGTTAAGTGCTTCGAACGTCGGCGGATCACTACTCTCACTCATCCGAACATTCCAGGCCTTCCTGGTTACCGGATCCAATTTGTTACTGACAATATACACGAGAATATCATTCCAGAGGTCTGCCGGAGAGCGATTTAAAGTGTGCAAAGAAGCTACCGCGATATTCACGTCATCGTGGAGTGCTTGCAAATCGGATACAGACTCACGAGAAATCATTTTGAGATTGAGCAACGCGGATAAATGCTTGGTGATCAGCCGCCGTTTGTTCTCATATCGAGCGAGTAACGCCTGCCACGCCGTACCAAAATTATCGGCGGTAACCGGAATATTCCCGATACATTCGAGCGCACGACCTTTTACGCATGAAGTTAAATAATGCATCCGCGCGAAATCGTCTAAATCGCGATTACTGATTATGAGCGCGGTGAACCGATCTCGGAATTGCTCCCATTCTTCATAGCGGCCTTCGAATGGCGGCAAACGGATGGGAGGCAAATGTGGGAGTGATACCGAATGCGCACGAGACTGAGAAGAATTACCGGCGGCGTATGAACTCACAGGCTCCAATTCCTCCAAGCACTCGGTTAGAAAATCGTGCGCCGCCTCGAACACCTCCTCGGTAGCGTCGCAATAATGGTCGCGGAAGTAGTCCATCGTCCCTCGGGATGCTTCCGGCGTGGCCTTGGTTAGGAGAGCGTGCCCGTCCAAGAATTGCGACCAAGTGTCCTTAAGGATTGTCAGCCGTGAGCGGACCTTCCCGGCCGTCAAATTGTTCTTGCCGATTTTCTTTATATTGTCGATCGTGCGATCGATCACGCGCTTCAACTGAAGTTGTTTAGTAGTCAGTTGAGCCATCCTGATCGGCTATCACGTCGTTGTCACGCTCAGAATCCGGCTCGAAGGACCAAATGTTGCAGGTTGAATCTGAGAGTTAACCCGTTGAACGCCGGGATCGCCCAGATCTTGGGCGCTAGAGCGAGTACGACTGGAGCCGACGGAAATCAGTCAAAAGGAGAGGACCGGTCGGTTCTCTGGATAATAACGTGGTCGAGTCTCCGAGTGCGAAGCGTTTATTAGCGTGGACCCAATACAGCGGCTTGTAGATCGCGAACAATGAAGTTGTGTCTCAATAACGAGACGGAGAAAATAATCACGCGCCGGAGCGACGCGTAGTTGAGCTTTTTACGGTAGCCGAGCGGAACTTGAGAAAATGAGTTCGACAGCCGGATTCTGCTGAAATCTATTGTCATGATATCGATCGTGATATTTATAATTTTATATCGCTGATGCGGCTCAAGCCGATTGGCAGATTTGTACACATCGTTGGTTGACTGACACAAAGATCTAGACGGTAAATACATTGTTTTGCCGTTAGTCACGAGACATTAGACTGCCGCACGTTTCTTCTGATGGAAAGAGTGTTATTGTCACCGACACAATGAGACAGTGTAACGCGCCGAGACAATACCAGGCGGCAAGACAAAGATCGAGCAAATAATTCGTTTGTAAACATGGGTGATTTGCCCGAGCGGTGACTCGCTGTTAGCGGCGTCCAGCACACGCTCCGCGAGAATCCGCTGGACGATTTTAATGAGCACGCAGAACCGCCGATATGATTTTCCAATTCGGAACAACCATGTTTTCACGAGTTGTTGGCACTTGTTAATAAACATTATCTTTTAGGTAACCCCACAGAAAGAAATCCGGCGATGTCAAATCAAGCGACCTAGCAGGCCAATTAATCGGGCCACCTCTGCCAATCCACCGACCATTGTAATCACGGTCTAATACTTCCCGTGCTGCTATTGAGTTATGCGCTGGGCAACCGTCATGCTGAAACCACATACTTTGTCGAACGTCCAAGGCAACATCATTAAGTAGTGGTGGTAGTTCCTGTTCTAGGAAATTTCGATATTTGATTCCATTCAAATTACCTTCAATAAAATAAGGATCAATGAATCTGTTCCCTATGATTCCACACCAAACGTTAATCGACCAAGGACATTGATGTTCAACTTGTCGTAACCAGTGGGGATTTTCTACACTCCAGTAATGCATGTTATGTCGATTAACGCCACCATGATTTGTGAATGTAGACTCATCTGAAAATAGTACATTAGCAATGAAATTGGGGTTCGTTTGCATTTGTTGAAGTGCCCATTCACAAAACACCACTCGATTATGAAAATCATCGCCATGAAGTTCTTGATGCAGTGAAATGTGATATGGGTGAAACTTATGACGATGCAATATTCTGCGAATACTATCTCCAGAAATTCCGAAATCGCGATGTAATTGCCAAGTGCTTACCTGTGGGTTGTGGTGAACAGCTGCTAGCATAGCTATTTCATTAACTTCTCCTGTAACAGTTGTCCCTCGTTTTCTTTTTTTAGTTTGTACGCTGCCATCCGAGATAAAGGCAGTCACAACTTTGTAAAAAAAAGAACGTGAGCGAACATTGTCTGGAAAACGCTCAGCATATAAGGCAACAGCATCGTCAACATTCCTCCTACATTCACCATAAATCAGAATCATTTCAATTTTTTCTTCTACGGTTGCAGAATTTTCTACTTGCAATTCTGTTCAAATAATGAAGGGTAGATATGCAGGTAATAAAAACTAGTCAAGTAAAATGAAGTTGTTAGAGATGCTTTCAGTTCTAATTTTGAAAGAAAAGTGAGCTCTGACCGCATTGCCTTTTATAATAAGCCGTAGTTCGCCATATATCCACAGTAGTGCGTCGAGCAGTTCCCTTTTCGATTCGGGTTCCCATTTGAGATTTGAACGTTACCACCCACCCTATCCCGAGAGGATGGTGGGGGGAATAACTTTTATTATGTTCTTTAAAAATATTGAACAGGTATTTTTTATTTCTCAATTCAATGATCATTTCTGGAGAATTGCAGAAAATATAATTTTTTGCGATTACAGCGCCATCTATCACGAATAAAAAAAAAAGTTTCGGACAAAATTTACGTACTTTGTGGCGTAGAATCCGTATCTGCAATAAAAAATGGGGGTTTCCATTTAAGATTTCAAAGTTGCCCCCAACCCCCACCCCCAGGGGGTGGGGTGGGAGGTCGAGTTTGGTATCATTGGATGTCCCCCTTCGAGACTAACAACTTTCATTAACCACTTTTTTTTATCCAATGCATAGTTCTCGAGATATTTCAATGTCTTCAGATAAATCGTGCACCCTGTATACGCTAATACTGATGCATTGCTCGCGCGAGCGCAAGAGCAGGAAGGTTGGGTCATATACCACTATGGTAGACTGCACCATGATGCAACTGGGGTACACTTTCCGTATTATCTACACCAAAAGATATTTTGCCACGCAGGCATCATATTCGCTCATCTAACTTACATGGGCATCTTTCTTTTATTAGTATCTAGGGACGTACAGAGCCTGATTTTGCCTTTAGGTCCTTGAAAATTTGTAATAAATGAAAATATAGGCTCGTGTACCGCGGGATGCACTTTCATTCAAAATTTTTATTCAATTTTTATTTAGATCCTTTCTCCAAAAAAACGTTCTATATGCCCCTGCGGACGTTAATCCTGATTGCAAATATCATAAATATAAGGTGATTTTCTTCGTTCATAATTTTTAATATAATTTTGCCTAGTTCGCGGGACTCCGCGAAAGGTCTCTAGTGTGGCTCCTGCAGACCCTTAAGCACTTTTCGGTTTAATGCAGTGTTTCTGAGATATTTGAGTGGGTCCTTTAAAATGGGATACCCTGTATATATACATATATTCAGGATCCTCTAAAAGTCTGGGAACGCAAAAATATTTCCAAAAATATGAAAGAAACGAAAAAATGTTTCATACAATAGTTGTAGGGCTTAAAATGATCTATTTACTAGTTATCAATTTGACCATAGGTGGCGTTGCTAAGATCATATGAAGGTCAACTTTGTTTTTTTAAATGGAACCCCTATTTTTTATTTTTTATTGTAAATTTTTGTAGCTTATCTCGAGAGCTTTCCAAAACGCTATAATGAAGTAATTTTTTATTAAGTTCTTTCCGAGTTATGACGCTTGAAATTTACAGTACCGCTGGCATTAGCATTACCCGAAATGTACCGCGCGGAGTTTCGATCAGAGATGCTTCTCGGTCCACATATTCTAAAAACGCGTTGCGCTCGCTCGTATCTCGCTCTTTGTCTCTTTTATTTATTTTTCCGATTATAATATCACATTTTTTTCTGAAAAATGTTGACCGAAAAGGAAAGAATATTGCTACTTATTTATCGAGGATTTGGTGATCGTATTAAATCATATGAAGAAATAGCTGATTCAATGTTACACATCCTGGTCTTGATCCTATTTCTAAATCCACCGTTTACAAAACAGTGACTCGCTTTTTTGAAACGGGAACAGCTAAGAACCGATCTCGCAGCGGAAGGCCAAAATCCATAATTAATGATGATAAGACTTTGGATATTCTCCAATCATTTCAGGAAAATCCTCATTTGTCCGTATCAAAAACAGCACAAGCTCATGATATCAGTGAAGGTAGTGTTTCTAACATTTTAAAAAAGCATAAATATTATCCGTATAAAATTGTTATCACTCAAGAACTTATGGAAGATGATTTTGATAGAAGAATTCAGTTTTGTGAAGAACTGATGCATCAGTGTGATGATAATGCTAACTTTTTGAATTTTGTTATTTTTTCTAATGAAGCCACATTTCAAATAGATGGTGCTGTTAATCGCCACAATTGTAGATATTGGAGTGACGAAAATCCACATTGGATAAGTGATCTTCACACACAATATCTACAAAAATTGAATGTTTGGACAGGGATCTGTAATCGCGGTATTATAGGCCCATTTTTCATAGATGGTGATTTAAATGCTGAACAATATGAAAATCTATTGCAAGATTACATCATTCTTTAAATTGAAAATTTATTTGACGCAAACATGCAAAACGTTTGGTTCCAGCAAGATGGAGCAGGACCTCATTTTGCGGCACGTGTTCGAGAATTTTCCTAATCGTCCTAACCGTTCTTTTCCTAATCAATGGATAGGTAAGAGAGGTGCCATTGAGTGGCCTGCTAAATCATCTGATCTATCTCCCCTTGATTTCTTTTTTTAGGGACACATTAAAAGTAAGATTTATGCGACGAAACTATGTAATTTGGAAAACCTGAATAATCGAATGCAGAAAGCATCTCTAATCATTTTAGAACAAATGAGCCATATGATCAATAGTTTCTATGAACGTTTAGCTCATTGCCAAACAGTAGAAGGAAGACATGTCGAACATTTGATTAATTGAAAAAGTAAAAAACAATAGCTTGAAAAATGTAATGTGTGCATACACGCACACACACACACACACACACACACGCACGCACGCACGCACGCACGCACGCACGCACAATACGGAGAAGGTTTAGAGTTTTAAAATACTGCAGGAGTGACGAACCGTAGGATCCTGATCTCTGTAATGACACATACACATACACGCGCGCGCGCGCGCGCGCGTGCAAGGTGTAAATTCGACCATGCAACCTTCGCGCGATATACTTTGGGCAATGCTAATGCCGGCGGACTGTAACTTTCAAGTGTCATAACTCGGAAAGAACTTAATAAAAAATGACTTCATTATAGTGTTTTGGAAAGCTCTCGAGATAAGCTACAAGAATTTTCAATAAAAAATAAGAGGTTCTATTTAAAAAAACAAAGTTGACCTTCATATTTTTTTTTTTTTTTTTTGACGAGGAGGAAATCCATCATGGATATCCTGACCCTCGGGGAAGGGCCAGGGTTATGCCGGACTCCTACCGGCTAAAACCTCCCCGGGTGGCGCTGCGAAGAGACTTGGGTCGGGGCCCCGGTGCCGCGTAACTGCTAATCGGGGCCCCGAGTCCAGGTTTGCACCTTCTGTCCCTGAGGGGCAGGGAGGGGGAGGGGGGAAGCCGACCCGAAGGTCCGCTTCGACCACCGCTCCCCCAGGGGAAGGGGGAAGCCGGCCCGAAGGCCCGCTTTGACCACCGTTCCCCTTTCCCACCCCTCACGCCTCGTCTCTTCGGTCGGGAAGGGGGAGGCTGGCCGAGGCCCGCTTCACCACCGTTCCCGACCAGACGAGGCGCCGCCAATACACGTTGTGTGGCTGACTGACCCACCGTATCAGCCAGCCACCCTACGCTGGGAGGGTTAGTTGGGGCACCGGGAGTCCCCGCCCTGTACCCCACCCTCCCGCCCGGCGGTTGCGGGGAGATATACTCCCCTAGCCGCCGGGCTCTCCCCACCTCCGCAGAGGAATGGGGTGGGGGGTCCTAGTGACCCCCCCTCCCGCATATCCGATTCATGTATCGGATCGGTGAGTAGGGGGGGAGGGGTATCTTTCCGACAGTTTGTCACCGTCGGTACCCTCTCCCCCCCTTACTTTCATCCGACTCCCTTCTTCGTGGGAGTCGGTGGTCTGCGGGTGTGGGGCCTGGGCCGGAGCCTTGTCCCCCACCCGCCGCCATCGCCCGTCGCTGCCCTTGGAGGGACAGCAGGGGGTGGCGGCGGCGGTGGCGCCGTAGTCACCCCCGCTGCAGGGGGGGCGGTCAGCATGGCTGCCGCCACCATCAGGGGGGTGAGTCGCTGCAGGACCACCACCGCCACCCTACCGCCTCCGTTTCTCCGGGACCCGCATGGGGCACCGTGCCCCCTACGGGTTCCCCGTCTCGCTGCTGGTGCCTGGGGGGAGCAGGAGGGGGAGGGGGGAAGGAGGTGGTGGTTGACCCACCATCCTCCTGAGCTCGTCCTCCTCTGACGAGTCAACGTCCCCCTCCCTACTCCTGCTTCTCCCCGCCCTCCACTGGCGGTGCCTCTCGCGCCGCCTCCTTTTCCTTCCCCGACCCTCTGCCCTTCTCCTCGCTTCTTCCGCCTCCTCCTTCTGCGTCATTACCGATTCGCAGAAGGAGGAGAATGCATCCCATCTCTTCTCACTCCCGAGGATCGCCCCGACTATCCTCGGGAGTGAGAGGTCTTGGCCTATGGCCCGGACCATGACTCCGCGCTCGGCACTCCAGGCGGGGCAGCTCTGGAGTGTATGTTGCGCGGAGTCATGGTCATCTCCGCAGTGGTGGCATGTCGTCGTGCGCTCCTTGCCTATCCGGCACAGGTACTCACCGAAGCATCCATGCCCGGTGAGCACCTGTGCCATCCTGAAGGTCAGGGTCCCATGGGCCCTTCCTACCCACTCTGGCAGGAAGGGTCGGACGGCCTCGCCGGTCCTCCTTCCATACCTGGCATTAGCCAGGAGTCCCTGCCATCTTTGAAGGAGGACCTGTCGAGTCTGGTGCTTCATTCTTCTTATTGCCCTGGCGAGCGGTTCTTCCGCCCTCCCTGTATGCAAGAGCTCCCGCTTCCTGTCATACATTCTATTGTATGACAGGGCCATGAGCTCCAAGGGGGGAAAGTTGACCTTCATATGACCTTAGCAACGCCATCTATGGTCAAACTAATATGACTGCTAAATAGACCTTTCTAAGCCCTACAACTTTTGTATCAAACATTTTCTCATATTTTTCATATTTTTCGAAATATTTTAGCGTTCCCGGACTTTTTGAGGGCCCTATATACATATATATTGTTACGTCCCGTGGAATTTTATTGGATTCAATAAAATTTATTTGATTACGTCGCGGATATGACTATGAGGAAAG